CCCGCAGAGCACCTCAGCGACACAAGCACCCAAACAAACCTACAGCAACCCGAGCCATGGCCACTCCCAAGAGCTCCGCGGCGAAGCGCAGCAAGGGCGGCAAGACGTCGCACCGCAAGCCGAAGCGGACGTGGAACGTTTACGTCAACCGCTCGCTCAAGGCGATCAACAGCCAGATGTCGATGTCGAGCCGGACGATGAAGCTCATGAACTCGTTCGTGAGCGACCTTTTTGAGCGCATCGCGTCCGAGGCCGCCACGGTTGTGCGCGTCAACAAGAAGCGCACGCTGGGCGCGCGCGAGCTGCAGACGGCGGTGCGCCTTGTGCTGCCGGCTGACCTCGCGAAGCACGCGATGGCGGAGGGCACCAAGGCGGTTTCGCATGCGTCTAGCTAGTTTTTGTTTCTTCTTGTTTATAATTGTTTTGAGAGTTTCTGTTTTTTTTAAAAAGTTTTTTGCTTTCTTGCGTTGTTTTGAAGTTTTTTTTGTTGTTGCTTGAGTTGTGTGTTCTTGAGTGTGTTGGCTTTTTTCTCTTTTTTGAGTCGTGAAGTCGTTGGGTATTTGTTCGCTTTCGTCCTGTTGGTGTTTTTTTGTGTCTGCTTTGTGCCATGCTTTGTCTGATGATGTTTTTTCTCGTGTTTTTTTTGTCTTTGTTTGTTAACGGGGACGTTTGTGCCTTGTGCGGCTCTGTTTGTAGAGAGTTTCTTGGCTTTTAGCTCTTTGGATGGCTTCTGATACACAAGAGAAGGATGACGAAGTCACCTCTCGGGTCCCGCGTGTTGCTGCGGAGACCACTGAACATTTTTCGTGGGTGGCGCTGACGCGAAGAGTTGCTCTTGTGGGAATGTGCGTCTTCTGTGCGTCTTTGTTCTACGTTGTTTTTATTTACCTGCCGTTCTTCGCTGGCGGTAATGGTCAAATGCGTTTGTGTTCTGCAACGTATTTTTGTTGTTGTTTTGTTGGCGGCGTCGTGAGTGGGCTTCCGCACACTCTCTTGACGCCGGTGGATCTTGTGAAGTGCCGCATGCAGGTTGGAGAGTACGAGTCCGTGTCGGAGGGTTTTCGTACCATTTATAGGGACGCCGGGGGCTCACTGGTTGGTAGTATACCGCTGCTCTACCGTGGGTGGGTCCCCACACTTATTGGCTATTGTCTTCAGGGCGGGGCGAAGTTCTTTTTCTACGAGGTGTTTAAATGTATGCTAAAGGGGCACTGCATGGTGCAGGCAGTGGGGAACTCGCCGCAGTCATACAGTTATGTTTGTGAATTACTTATTTATTTATTGGCTAGTTTCTTTGCGGAACTGATAGCCGATGTTTTTCTGTCTCCATGGGAGGCTATTAAAATTAAGATACAGACCACGAGTGTGCATCGTACACAGATTGGTGTCATTGTACCCATGGTGTGGGCAGCAGAAGGCTGCCGTGGTTTTTACAAGGGTCTCACGGCGCTTTGGTGCCGCCAGGTTCCTTACACGGTTGTGAAGTTCATGAGTTTTGAAAGCATTGCGTACCAGTTGTATAAAGTCTTTGGAAGTACTCCGCAGAGCGCCACGTCCAAGGCTGTTCAAATTTTTGTGTCATTGCAGGCGGGAATGCTGGCCGGGGTGCTTTGTTGCATCGTCTCTCACCCTGCCGACACAATCGTGTCTAAGCTAAACCAGCGAATTGACACTGTCAAAGGGACGACAGGCACCTTTTGCCATTTGCTCCGGGCTCTTGGGTGGTGGGGAATCTGGAAAGGCATTGGCCCTCGCTTGTTGATGGTGGGGACACTTACAGGGATGCAGTGGGTGCTGTACGATAGCTTTAAGGTGCTCGTGGGCATCCCCACAACTGGGGGGGGTCGTGTTGACGCAAGAAACGCAGTGCCTACTACCGGGACCGAGGTAAGGTGAAAGCTGTGGTAAATAAACGGAAAATGGCGGAGTGGGGGTATTTTGGGTTTGGCTTTCCTCAGGAACCTTGTGGTTGTGCGACTGTTTCCACGCCATATCCCCCCATTGTATATCTGTTTGTAGAAAGTGTAGAGAGGGCGGAGGGTGGAGGAGGGGAGGGAGCGGGTGCTTCACAGACAGCTTCACAAAGGCACCGTTTACGATACGTTCGGGAGGAGTGAGCCGTGCCGCTGTTACTTTTCACTACTCTTGTCACGTGCTTAAACCGTCCAACGCCTTTTGCCTCCCTTTATGAAGCAAGGAACGAAGTGAACCAAAACCACGATAACAGAAGAAGAAGAAGAAGGCGGCGTGTGTGGGTGTAATCCACTTGCGTGCAGGGCTGCGTAACGATGCGGGATGATTGACATCACTGCAGTGCCCACTCGTGCTGTGACGTGCCCCTTCCCTCTTGTGGCGCTGGACGCAGCGGTGCCCCACGACCCCCTGACGTCGCCGTTGCTGTTGCTTATAGTTGGTCGGGAGAAGGCGTGCGTTGCGGCGCTGCAGGATCGCAAGGTCTGGCTTCGCAAATTTGTGTTGCAGTCCCATCGCACACTGACGACAGGTGCATGTTGTGCCGTGGACACGAACGACGGACATCTCTTTGCGTTGGGCGACGCCTTTGCCACCCTGACGCTGCACCGCATTCCTCCAGTGTCAAATCGTGTGGCGCCGGCCGATCATGAGAGCGGTACTATTTTTGTCGGCAACGCCTGGGATACGACGCCTCGGATTGAGCAAGTTGTTCCCGTGCGGGGCAGCAGTGGGGTGGACTTTGTGTGTACGCGCCAAGGTGAAACGAATGTCGCGTGGGCAATATCGTGTGAGCGTGAGGAGGCACGCACTATCAGTGTTGACGTCACGTTGGAACGGTTATTTGTGCAACAGCAGGCTGCTCCGGGCTGCCTCGTGGGGGCCACGCCGCGCGGTGTGTCCCTCATCTCTCCCGCCTCGGGGGATACATTGATGGAGCTCCAGCTGCCGAGCGGGACGCGGCGTGTTGCGGCCGTGCAGTCGGGCGTTGCCGGGAGTAACTATTACGCCGTGGTAACGGTTTGCGGTATAGCTCTTATGTATGATCAACGCCGTGCTGAGAAACCATTTTGGTCAGAGCCGCTCTGGGACTCGCGCGGTGTCAAGGAGGCTGGTGGGGCTGGGGCGCTTATGGCGTATTGCTGCGAGGGCGTGTGGGCTGTTCGCGCCGCTGAAAAGCTCCACTGTCTACGCTGCACTGACGGCTCTGTTGTGTGCCGCTCTTTTCCACTTTCTGGGGGTTTGCATTCGTCGCAGTTCACCACTGCAGGTCTGCACTTCACAAATGACGTTCTTCACTTTGTGGGGAGTAAGAACCTTTAACTGGTAACTTTTTTTTTCTACTTTCTTTTTCTTTTTCTGAGGTGAGAAGTCAATGTGAATACAACAACAACGACAAAAAGGATGTAAAGATACAGAGCGGACTGAACCACTGCTGTTCTGCATGCTGACATACATCTTTTCTGTTCTTGCTTTTTTTCATTTTTTTTCTTTTGCTGCACGGCGTTAGGGTGCGAGAGTGGTGCTACATCAAAGGGAAAATGTTGCGCGGCATGTTTGCGTCGAGGCTGCTTCTGCTGCGGCACACGAAGGCGAGCTATGCGCCTGACAAGGTGTCTCCCGAGCTCGCAGCCTGCATTAAAGACATCATCCTGCGGGATCGCGTAGTTATCTTTCTCACCGGCACACCAGAGCAACCCCGCTGCCGCTTCACGGTGCAGATGGTGGATATGATGCGGCAGGTGGGGGTCCCTTATAGTTTCTTTAATGTTCTGGACGACGATGAGGTGTGTGAGGGAGTCAAGACGTACAGTGACTGGCCAACGTACCCGCAGCTGTATATCGACGGGGAACTTGTTGGGGGATACGATGTGTGCAAGAGCATGCTCCTAAGCGGCCAACTCACGAAGCTGCTCAAAGAAAAAGAGCTACTTTGAATGTGAACCCATTAACACATGAAAACTAGCGTGTATCACTGTGTTGTTGTTGTTGTTGTTTTTTGCATCTTGGGCAGCGTTCGAGCATACAGTATGAAGCAGCTGGAAATCAAGGCAGTGCTTTGGATTTGTTTTACGTGACTATCACCCTCTGACTGGTTTGTTTTCTACGTGTAAGTACACATCTGTGTTTGCTTGGAGAGGGGCGAGCGTGTTTGTGTCTGTGTGTGTGTGTGTCGGTGTGCTGTGGTGGTGTTGATGTCTGTAATGAATTGAGGAGACACGTGCCTCGTGAAGGCAACTTCCATCTGCGTTCCTTCCCCCCCCCTCTCCTTTGAAGGAAAGCCTCCTTCTTTCAAGGCAATGTCTATCAGTGGCATTCCACAGGAAACAGTCAAGGTGCTGTGGCAGGTGCACTGTGCATCCCTTGCTCCACTGTCCTTTGGAGAGGAGATTGTGGGCGAAATGTGGAAATTGTTCGCCGGATTTTTGGCTTCGCTACCGTTGCAGTCCGCTGCGGTGTCGTCTAATCACGCCTCCTTGACTCTTTCATTATTTACGTTTACCGTGGACCTTCGCAGTGAGGGTCTAACTGCGGAGATGCGAACTGCCATTGTGAATCAGCCGCACATCATTGTGCCACTACTGGAGTTTTTTAGGGCGGTGCTGGACTACCAGCAACAATCGGAGGGGCATCCACGGGGAGCTGTCGGGTGCTGGCAATTGATTTGCTCCGTCATTGCTGACGATGCCTGCGCGAGGTCGTTTGATGCCTTGGGTGCCTCTTTGCTCGGCCAGCTGGTGAGGATTCGTGGAACCGTGGTTCGCATGAGCCCGTCCCGGGTGGTGTGTGTCAAGATGGCGTTTCGCTGCGGTTCATGTGGGGGAATTGTGGAGTGTGCAACGGAGGATGGCATTCTGGTGTACCCCGGGTCCTGCCGCGGCAGGTGCCGCGGGTACAAGTGGTCTCCGCTGGTGGAGCAGGGAGAGTGTGAGGAGGTCCAGGTGCTAAAGATTCAGGAACAGGCGGACGTCTACGACGGGTCTGCGGGGGGTGGAAGTATTCACAAAATGATGACGGTGGAGTTGCGTGGCGTCTGGATTGACGCCGCGACGGTGGGTGAGGCCGTTGTCGTGTGTGGCGTTCTCGCAGCTAGGCGTGGTGAGGGACGCGGTGACGCCACACAACAAATAGCCGTGCGGGCGTACTCAATAGAGGGAAGCCGGCATGACACTGAGAGAGGGGTGTCGCTGTCAATGAACTCATTAGAGGAAAGTGCACAGTTCTACGAGATGGTGCGGCATCCGCAGTGGTTTGCGCGTCTGTGTGCCTCTCTTGCGCCGTCCATTTTTGGGCTACAACACGTAAAGGAGGCCATTGTTTTGGCAGTGGTGGGAGGCACGGCACACAAGATGCGTACACGCAGCAACATTCACCTACTCATGGTGGGTGATCCGGGTCTTGGGAAGTCGCAGCTGCTGCGTTCTGCCTGCACCATTGCAGCCCGTAGTGCCTTCGTCTGCGCTCACACGTCGTCCTCCTGCGGTCTGACACTCACGCTCACGAGAGATCCAACCACAGGGGAAACGTCGTTCGAGGCGGGGGCGGTTGTGCATGGCGACGGAGGAATTACCTGCATAGACGAAATTGACAAGGGTGTGACAGAGCACAGGGCACTTCTTGAAGTGATGGAGCAGGAGACAGTCTCCATGGCGAAGGCAGGGATGGTGTTCTCGGTTCCAGTGCGTACAGCCATTCTCGCCGCGGGTAATCCTGCAGGTGGCCGATTCGATGACTCAAAGGCAGTGACGGCGAATCTGAACCTTTCCCCCGCGCTCCTCAGCCGCTTTGACATTGTTGTCTGCCTCCGCGACCCACACACGGAATGCACCAATTCCCTCTCAGAGCACGTCCTGCGGTTGCACCGTCGACACGACGAGGCTGGGGCACGTCACGCAGGAGGCGCAGGGGGAGGGATGTCGCTTCCCGTCGAGTTGGTGCAGCGTTTTGTGGCCTTCTGCCGTCATCACTGTCACCCGTCCCTCCGCGAGGAGGCGAGCGAGGTCCTGAAGTCACACTACCTGACGAGGCGTGCAGAGACGAGGGACGATGAGTTGCCTGTCACGCCGCGGTTCTTGCAGGCCCTAATTCGCGTGGCAGAGGCGCGTGCCAAGGTTGAACTTCGTCACGAGGTAACGGCCGATGATGCGCAGTACGCCGTGGGGCTGTTGCGGCAATGCTCTGGGAGTCTGCGCGGCACCCCCCGCACTTCTTTCTTTCGCCCTGCCACCGCCAAAAAGATGAGCCAGCGGGATCTAATTCTAAACACTCTTAAGGCGGAGGTTTGCCGTACGGGTGTTAATGCCTTTCCTCACCGCGTTGTCCTTGCCGCCTGTGAGGAGGCCGGCTGTCGCAATGCAAATGCCATGCTGCACCAGCTGAACGAGGTGGGAGTCATCCTGCAAATTGGGGATAAGTACCAGCTGCGTGGAGTGTAGAGAGCGTGGCGCTCATTTGCGCTGAGAGCAGTCCTATCGAACGAAAGAAGTAACGAGGTTTTTGTTTTTGATGTTTTTTTTTTGCAAACAAAAGAAAAACAAAAGCGAAAAAAAAGCAATGAAGGAAGCAGCATAAGCAACGCGGTGAGGCCTGCCCACAGTAGCCATTCTATGCATCTCGTTTTCTTTTTTTCGCCCAGTGCTGCCTTCTTGTTTTTTTTTTTTACTGCTGCGCCGAGCCATCCACCCAACAACTTCATCTTTCCAGCTTGCATCCAATACATCTGTATATATGTATATATTGGCGTGGAGCTGCTTTGTCTTTTTTTTCTTGTTTGTAGGAGTCTGGGAAGAGTTGGGGTTTTGCCAAGGGGAGGTAGTCGTAGAAGATGCGTGCGTCGCTTGCCTTGCTGCGTCGGGGTAAACCTCGTCCACGGGCCGGCATGTTCCCCGATAAATATCGCCGTGTGCCGGCGCTGCTGAAGCCCCAACAGGGCGGGCAGCAGTGCTTCAATGAGTTTCTTATTCGCTCCACAAATGACCGGCTAATGCGCCGCGACGTTGAGGATGATGCCGATGGAATGGAGTCTAAAATTGCTGCGCAGCTCCCACAGAGGGATTGGGAGCGCATGTCGGCTCGCAGCTCGTCGGATGCGGTGCAGGAGGAGATGCGAAGGTTGGTGGAGGGGGATGTGGCACAACAGCAGCGTGTGTTTAACGAAAGGGTGTGGTACGAGGAGGAGGAGGAGAGGCGCCGTCTTCAAACCGGCGTTGGGGGTGCGGCGGTAGCTGAAGAAACTGGAGGCGCAAAAGAGCATGGCGTCCCCCCGCGGGTGCTTGGGAACGATTACTTTCAGAGCCAGTTTGGCTACTCCCTCGTCAAGGAGAGCGAGATGCCTCACGGGGTGACGGACTACAACCAACTGGATATGTGGGGCGAGATGCCCAAGTACACAAATGACATGGTGTTCCTTTATTTGATTTCGCGTCGGCGCAACACGTACGCGGTGGCATACACGTACGGCGGAAAGCGTATCCTTCCCACCTATACGGCCGGCAACAGAGGCCTAAAAGGCGGTGATCGCGGCTTCCGAAGCGATGGCTCTACAGACAACGGCCATCAGGTGACAAGCATGTATCTGAACGACTTACTGCCAAAGCTACGTGAGCTTCGAGCAAGCGAGGGAAGACCGATTGGGCGGGGTGAGAAGATTGAGCTTGTTGTACGAGTCATGGGCTTCTACAACGGCCGACAGGGGGCGGTGCGGGCAGTGCAGGATCGTGCCAATGACTTTCAAGTTCGCTATTTTGAGGATATAACCCCGTTTCCATTGAACGGACCAAAGATGCCGCGCGGTGTATTCAAATAGATCCCCCGGCTGCGGCAGCGGAACGAGAGAATCGAAGTGCGACGGAGACGTAATTGTTGGAGAAGGGGAAGGAAATGAGTCAAAAGGTGGCACCGACCGGGAGAGGGAGAGCGCGTGCGCAAACGTAAATGTGGGTGTCGGGCACTCTTGTCGCAGTTCCCACTCTCCATGCTTGGAAATCCCTTTGGCTTACTTGGACTTCTAATGCGTTCTTTTTTTTTTTCCTCCTTGTTCTCATTACTTTTCTCTATGCATACATACGTGTGGGTAATTGGACCAAGAGTTGGTTCTCCATAGCCAGTTGTTGTTTTTGTTCATCCGTGTGCATCGTTGCAGGCGAAAATTATTCTTTTTCGGCGCTCTGGACCTCTTCTTATGAAGACTTTTGATTTGGTTGTCATTGGTGCCGGTTCGGGCGGTCTCGAGGCCGCTTGGAATGCCGCGACGCTCTACAAGAAACGGGTGGCGGTGATTGACGTTCAGAAGACGCATGGCCCACCGTTTTTTTCTGCCTTGGGCGGCACCTGCGTCAATGTTGGCTGCGTTCCGAAGAAGTTGATGGTCACCGGGGCGCAGTACATGGACCAGCTGCGCGAGGCAAGAGGGTTCGGCTGGGAGTTTGACCGCAGCACCCTCAAGGCGGACTGGAAGAAACTCATTGCCGCAAAGGACGAGGCTGTGCTGGATATCAACAAGAGCTACGACGGCATGTTCAGGGACACCGAGGGTCTGGAGTTCTTCCTGGGCTGGGGATCGCTGGAGTCGACGACGGTCGTGAATGTTCGCGAGACTGCCGACCCGAGCAGCCTCTTGAAGGACCGCCTGGAGACGAAGCACATTCTTATTGCCACCGGGTCGTGGCCGCAAATGCTGAAGATCCCCGGCATCGAGCACTGCATCAGCAGCAATGAGGCGTTCTACCTGCCAGAGTCGCCACGCCGTGCCCTCACCGTCGGCGGCGGATACATTTCTGTCGAGTTTGCCGGCATTTTCAACGCTTACAAACCAAAGGACGGAAAGGTGACGTTGTGTTACCGCCGCGACCTCATCCTCCGCGGCTTTGACAACACCCTTCGTGAGGAACTCACGAAGCAGCTCATTGCCAACGGGATTGACATCATGACGAAGGAAAATCCAGCCAAGGTGGAGCTGAACCCAGACGGCAGCAAACACGTGACCTTCGAAAGCGGCAAGACTATGGATGTTGATGTTGTCATGATGGCGATTGGCCGCGTTCCTCGCACCAGCGGCTTACAGCTGCAGAACGCAGGTGTTGTGCTCAACAAGGGCTCTGTGCAGGTGGATGATTACTCACGCACGAATGTTGCCAACATCTACGCTATTGGCGACGTGACGAATCGTGTCATGTTGACACCCGTGGCCATCAACGAGGCTGCTGCCCTCATCGACACAATCTTTGGTAACAAGCCGCGAAAGACGGACCACACCCGTGTGGCGAGCGCCGTCTTCTCTGTTCCGCCCATTGGCACATGCGGCCTTACCGAGGAAGCTGCCTCGAAGGAGCACGATACTGTGGCGGTGTATCTTTCCAGCTTCACCCCGCTCATGCACAACATCAGTGGATCTAAGTACAAGAAGTTTGTGGCGAAGATAATCACCAATCACTCCGATGGCACGGTGGTTGGGGTGCACCTTCTTGGGGACAGTGCCCCTGAAATCATCCAGGGCGTTGGTATTTGTCTCAAGATGAATGCCAAAATCTCTGACTTCTACAACACGATTGGCGTGCATCCCACGAGTGCCGAGGAGTTGTGCTCGATGCGTACCCCGTCCTACTACTACGTGAAGGGCAATAAGACGGAAACACTTCCAGAGTCAGCCCTGTAAGAGGCGAATTAAGCTCTGTTGTTTGTTTGTTGCTTTTTTTCCCCCTTTTAAAGCAAAACTCGGGTCAATAAAAAGCATCTGCATGACCGCGCTATTTTATATATATTAATTTGGGAAAGCTTAGAGGGAGGAGGCCGTAATGTTTTTACCCAGCGTACTGAATGAAATTGGGGTGTAGTGGCCACCGTGATGGGAACTTCACGGCGCGACACGCCTCATCCCCCTTAACGGCAAAAGCACTAAATTGTTTTTTTTTTCCCCCGAATGTTTCTTGGTTGTGGGAGGAGGCTCTTCTTTACTTGATAGTGTGTGTGTTTTTTGTTTCACGGCAAACGGCAAAACGTGTTGGTTGGGCGCGCAAAAGAGAAGCGAAAAAAATAACGGCAACAAAAGGGTACAACCAATAATGAAAGCGACGAGGAAGCAAAATCATTAGTAATGCGTCTTAAGCTGCGTTGTGAGGTCTCT